TTGGGCCCTAGTTCACACCAGAGCGTCCAGTTCCAGAGCATGTGGAAAAACTGCAGCATGCCCTATTTCTTCTGCTCTGGAACGCACCAAAACACATCAAAGACGCATGCAAATGCCCTGGAACACACAAAGTCCATTTAGACTAAAAAAAACAAAAACAGCCCGTAACGCATCAAAAACGCGGCAAAACACACTGCACTGCGTGTGCAGAAGCTCAGGCATTTCTGGTCTGCAATTGGTGTGAACAAGCCCCGAGACTTTGAATGGGTCGTTCACCCCCCTCTGCCCCAGCAGGAAGTACATTGTGGTGGATCCTGGAGCCCCAGCAGGAAGTACATTGTGGTGGATCCTGGAGCCCCAGCAGGAAGTACATTGTGGTGGATCCTGGAGCCCCAGCAGGAAGTACATTGTGGTGGATCCTGGAGCCCCAGCAGGAAGTACATTGTGGTGGATCCTGGAGCCCCAGCAGGAAGTACATTGTGGTGGATCCTGGAGCCCCAGCAGGAAGTACATTGTGGTGGATCCTGGAGCCCCAGCAGGAAGTACATTGTGGTGGATCCTGGAGCCCCAGCAGGAAGTACATTGTGGTGGATCCTGGAGCCCCAGCAGGAAGTACATTGTGGTGGATCCTGGAGCCCCAGCAACAACATCGAGCATTGTATCATCTTTCTCCATGACATGTTTTATCAGCTTATCGGAGAGGAGTGATGCTGGGGATCTGCACCTACAGCAGCACTTCACTTTGTTGTTCTAACAAGGTTACCCATTACTATTTTTTATTAAAACTCCACACTAATAAAATAATGCAGCGCAGTATTCATTAACCCCTTCATGACTGAGGCCTTTTTTTTCTTCATTTTTTTGCACCCATGTTATATTCCACATTTTAGGCCGAAAATGACTTAAAACATTCTATATTTTCTGAAAGCCCAGGCCCTGTAGAATAAAATGGTGGCAGTTGAAAATGTTTATGTTGCACGATATTAGCGCAACTCCTTATCAAACCCCAAAAGTTAGTGAAAAATGTACTTAAATGCCCCAAAACACAATAAAATACCAATTTTTTAAATAAAATATCAGATGAGGTTACAAGTAAATAGATACCCAACATGCCCAGGTTACAAATTGTGTGCGTTCGTGAAACGGCGACAAACTTCAGCACCCCAAAAAGTCCATAGACGACGCTTTAAAAGCACCCACAGGTCATCAATTTAGGGATACCCCAAAATATTGGCCCTAGAGTTATTGCTCTCACACCAGCGTGCGCGGCGATACCCAGCATGTGCAGCGCGTTCGTCGTTTTCATACGTTGGCGCACCCGATGCGTGTTTACGTGGCGACGCGCGTGCTCGCGGGGGACTTTAAAAATGTTTTTCTTATTTTTAGGTTTATTTTATTTCATTTTAAAAACTTTTCTTTTTTTTAACTTTGTTGCTATCACATAGGGGGGCTTACAAGCCCCACACATGATAGCAGATGGTGGTGACAGGTACTCTTTAAGGTCCAAAAGAACCCCCAGTGTCACCTTTACACTTCAAATAAGCTATTCAAGTGCAGATGGCACTTCAATAGCTTATTGCTGGGCTTCAGGAGCCCGGCACTGACAGCTAATGGACCGGAAGTGATGCAATCTCCATAGAACGGGGAGGGAAATCGACAAACGGAGGTTCGTCCAACTCCTCCCCAGCTCCCTGCCGACACCAGAGAATCCGGGCCCGTAGGAGGGGCAACGGAGCCCGCGACTGTAGAAGCGATCTGGCGACAGCTGAGTCGCCAGAATCGCTTCTATTGTCTATTGACAGTCGGCTTTACAAGTTTAAACAGAGTCCCGGCAGCTAGTCTGTTTAAACAGCCCCGATGCTGGCGTCGTACAGTGTACACGTCGTCAGTCGTGAAGGGGTTAATACATCAATAAATATAAATGGGAGCAGTGTACGTACATGAATCTGACTTGGCATCAGTGTCTTTCAGTCCCTGTACAGCAGAGGAGGGAGAAGCAGCACAAGGAGCAAATCAGTTTGGGCTGCATTGCCAGCAGTATACGTGTGGGGGGAGGGAGACAGCAAAGTGACAAACTGATGAGCTCATCAGTCTGCTGATTCTCTTTTGCAAGATGGGGAGGGACATGACCTGTAAGTGTTACGTAACTGCAACAGAAAAACAATCAGGTCCCCTGCCCTGTCAGTCATTGCTGTGTTATGTAGTACACCGGGATGGACAGAAATATGCTGCCAGATCAGTAGTGTCACTCTGACAGTATCACATACAATGTAGGACCAGTCATGCTGCAGTGTATGTGAGGATATCCTGGGAGCCGTACAGGTCGGAAAAAGGGCCACCCTTCATCATGGCTTTGGATCATATACAATGCGTCTGTATTATATGGAGGTACTAAGGACCGCATATGACACTCATAACACGGCTGCTCAGGTTATTAGAGAACGATTTCAAGTTGTGCCATTTTTTTTTAACGAAACCAGGGCCAGAAAATCCCAGGCGCAGGTCCCCAATGCTCCTTAAGAGTTACATCTGGTACCGTATATACTCGAGTATAAGCCGAGATTTTCAGCCCATTTTTTTGGGTGAAAAGTGCCCCCCTCGGCTTATACTCGAGTCAGCGCCAGTGCGTCTTCTTACTTACCTCGCCGAGCGTCACTGCTGCTCCGGTGTGCGGCGCTCCGAGCGGGGTCATCTGGCAGTCTCCGGGTCCTAATTTAGGTGGCCGGAGACTGCCAGATGACTAACATTTGAGGTTTTCTCTAGTTGCAGACAATGAAGCGGGCTCCTAAAGAAAAGTCCTGCTGCCTCCTGGATTGGACAGGCTGGCTCCCGAATTCCATATTATTTCCATCCCCGGGGTTAGGCAGCTTCTTTACATATAGCCAATCTATAAGAAGAATCTATTTCTATTAGGGAAGCGCCGATACTGAGTATTGGGGCAAACACTCGTACTTGCTCAAATGCTCCGATACCTTCCCCTATACCAGAACTTCTGGTCAAAGGGAGATTTCCTCTGACCGGCAGTGCCACGAGGGAACATGTAGCTGGCTTTCCGGCTATTCAGGAAGGCGGGCGGCAGGTAATGAATTGTCGTCCAGCTTTCTGATTGGTGGGGAGGCGGCTCCATGCAGTTTGGCTAGCTCGATGCTGATTGGCTGGGAAGCCTGCTTCCCAGCCAATCAGTATAGAGCCGGCCAAACAGGAACAAAGTGGCCCTTTAACCCTGACCGCCTTTCAACACTTCCTGGTGTGTTGAATACATGCTGCAAGAGAAGCGCACCAAAGCAGTGGAGTTTGAAGACACGGGACGCTGGAAACGTAAGTATGCTCCGGGGCTGGAAACAACTCTAGAATGCCGGCTCAGCATCGCGGCAGCCAAACAGCATGGAGTCGGCTTTCCGGGCAATCAAGAAGCTTGGCAGCATGTCATTACCCGGCTCCATGATAGCAGAAGTACCGGTATCGGTGCAGCCCTAATTTCTTTGATCAGAACTATGTACACAAATCATATCTGGTCTGTTACTATCTGCAGCTGTAATCCATTCTTGTTGGCACTGCATCTCCTCATCCGGTTTCACCTCTTTAAATGGTAATTGGCCTCTCACTTAAAAAGGAACGTTACCCTTATCTTTGAAATGACAATACAGGCATCTTTAGAAATGTTTAGTAATGACAATCTACAAAACAGATACTTATAGATAATTGGCGTATTTTTATTTTCTTGCCCGTGTTCTGACGGTGGCCATTTTAACTAAGGGCAAGTTATTAGATCTCCCTATGCTTCCTGGAACTCTGGCACAGGAGACTAGGACAAGTGGCCATGCACATCATCTGGGGAGGAAACTGGGTTTCCCTGAGATCTGGTGAGATTTCCCAGCAATGCTCTGCTGATGTAACCTTCCCAGGATGCAAAGCTTGGGCACAGAGTACATCGCTAATGCTCAAGAGGACCAGGAAGCGGAAAAATAATAACTATGTAAAAGCAAAATATGTTTAATGAATGAAAGATGATTTCATATCAGCACGCAGAGCTCTATGCTGATGTGATTTTTAGTGAAAGGGGGTAAAATGTCCACTTTAAAAATTGTAAGGTCGCAGTGCTGGGCTTGCTAAAAATCCAGCATTCAGTCCTGTGCTTTCCATACAGCAAGAACTCTTATGGGGGGAAACAAAGTCAATTTGGATGCAGAACCAGAGATGTTTTTCTGTTCATTAGATTCGCCCACTAAACAAATGTCCATAATTATAAATGGTGGTGACCATAAAGCACCTACACCAGGCGTAGCCAAACTCTGGCCCTCTAGCAGTGGTGGAACTACAAATCCCATTAGGCATTCAAAATGTCCACATGGCTTCAGCTGTCTATGGCGCTGGATCTACTGACAGTTTTCAGGGAAGGTTCTCTCTCTCTCCCTTTGCATCTTTTACTTTAAAACAATTTTTGATGAGATATTAGAAAGCAGGTCTGAGAAGATATTATTGTAGACACTCTTCCATGAGCATCTGGACTTGGTGCCTCCGAGGAACCAAGCACAACTAAGACACTAAATGGAGAGGTTTCTAGGAAAATACAAAAGGATTAGAGATTTGGCATTTCACAAACATACAAGGAAACAATAAAAAAGATAGGCACCCAGATTTCATGCAGTACTATGCCAGCACATGGCAGACTGCGAGGTAAACACACGGAGGTATTGGAGTTTTAGAAACATCGGTTCCATTTGATTTCTGAGCAAAGGTAAACACATCCACAGACATATCAAAGCAGCACTGTAGGCGAGAGAACTTTACGCTGTAGGCCGTGGAATCTGCATAACTTCATTCATTTGATCACAATTTCTTGTCCAAAGAGCTCGCTGGTTGTCTGTGGTTTCTGCAGACACTTGCCCATCCAAAACACTGAACAATATTCTCATTTCCTCTCTGAAGCAACCATCAACAGGATGTCAAGCGTCATGAAAAGGGGGGCGAGGACTCCTGCATTCCATCATATGTCATCCTCCAGTGTCCGCAGGTCTTTGTGCATCTTGCAGGAGTCTCAATATTCCTTTCCATGTGTACTCGCATTCAGCTGACTGTGTGTGCCATTTATCGAGGGAGAGGATTTCTCTGAAGCTCTTTCATAGTAGATTATATAAAATACTGGCAAAACAATCCCAATTAAAAGCATGACTAAAACTGCATTCCACCACCGGATACCCCAGTCTGCCCCGAGATAGGAGTCTTTTTGTCTAGGCGTAGGCGTCCCTCGAGGACTGCCAGAGCCAAACGATTCATTAAACAGTTCCTGGTTCTGTGCGGCCTTCTCAATGTTCTGGTCTATCTCCAGGAAGTACTGAGTGATGTCCCCTTTGTCTGTAGAAAGAACACTGGCATCCTCCGTTGGCTCGGTGACAATGCCATGAGAATTTACAGACCCGGAATTTTGAGTGCTGGGTTCCTCGTTGTGTTCGGAAAAAATCCCATGCACCTTCACTGGAATCTTAATTGTCTTTACAGCGTACATGTCCTGCTCTGTGAGAAAGTTGTTGGCTCTCTTAATGTCAGCGACCTGGAGGAAATAAAATGTAATCGTGACTCACAGCACTAGCCAGACGCAGGGGTCAGCATAAAAGAGCTGCTAACAACATATTCAATATTGTGTCAGATAGATACAGACCATATCTATCTGACAGGACCATTCTCACTAGAGCTGCAACAACAACTATTCGATTTAGTCAACGTTTTCCATCGTCGATTAGTCGGCTATCAATTAAAGGAGAACTATGAGATGAGTGATTTCCACTCACCTCATAGTTCTAGCCGACCTGTGACAATGAGACTGTCACAGGTCGGCTCAGTAGATCGTGAGGTGAGCGAACACATACCGGGTTCGCTCACCTCTCGATCCTGTCAGGGCTCTCTGCCGTGACAAGGGGAGGGGCTGGATTCCCCTCTCCGATCTGCCAGCGCTGACTGGCAGAACGGACGGGGGAGGGTGCGGGTAAAGCTGGCACTGCCTCTAGATAGGCAGAGCCAGCTGTCACTCACGCAGCTGGGCGGATCCCGATGTCCAGGTCGGGATCCGCTCCGGCGTCTCAATATACTGAGCTTAGGGTAGCGGGAGGACGCTAGTTTGTGTCCTCCCGTTACCCTAAGGAGAACTATGGGGAAAAACACTGACCCCATAGTTCTCCTTTAAATTAGCTGTTCAGGGCTCCAGACACGAGCCGCACACGCCGCGGTCCAGCCCCGGTTTTTCCTCCAATCCCAGCGCTCCTTACATCTAGCCGGGCCGGTCACATGACGGATGTCGGGGATGTGAGTGTGACAGGTGTCAGCCGGGGACGGAGAATATGGCTGGGGACGAGCTGGCATCCAGGCTGAACCGGCGGCTGGGGATGGGGGACCCGGAGGATGGGGAGAGGGAGTAGCCCAGCATGAGCGTCTTCAATCCCTACACCAAGTTCAAGAAGTTAAGCAGAAAGCAGACCAAAGACATGGATGGAATGTTCAGACAAGTAGGTGCCCCGAGCACCCCGGAGCATGGGACCCGACACCGTGCACCCCAATCCACCATCATACCCATCTTCTGCACCCCATTCCACCATACCGGTCCTCTGCACCCTATTCCACCATCATACCCAGCCTCTCCATCCCATTCCACCATCATACCCATCCTCACCATTCCACCATCATACCCATCCTCTGCACTCCATTCCACCATCATACCCATCCTCTGCACTCCATTCCACCATCATACCCATCCTCTCCAATAACACCAGCTATAGAGGAATACATCAGATCCCAGCAATAAATCATTATACAGCGCAATACAGAATAACACCAGCTACAGAGGAGTACAAATCCCAGCAATAGCACAATATAGTATAATGTACTATTGCTGGCATTTGTTGTAGTCCTCTATAGTTGCTGGTATTCTGCATTGCGCTGTCTAATGTACTATATTGCACACCACAATTTTTTTTACTTCCTCCGCTCCAAGCTTGCTCCTGTGATGGACTGCAATCTCGATACAAACTAGTAGTCCATCACTGGAGCCTTTTTTTTTTTTTTTATCCGATTAATCGAACTTAACAAATCAGCAAACTAATCGATTTTGAAAATAATCGTTAGCTGCAGCCCTAGTTCTCACTAGACCATCTACTAAAACGCTGAATTTTAGCGGACGGGCTACACGCTGCTGCATTTCTGGCAGCATGTGTTGTATCGCACACTGCCTGAGCAGTCACTACATTTTATTTATTTTTTCTGTTTAACTTTATGTGGAGTGTACAATGTGTGCACTGCGCTGCCTTGTGGTGACATCCACTGCGCTGTGATGAAATGCAGTATGTTTGCATGTTATCCCAGCGCAGTATACCGCCCATTACACCCATGTGAAAGGGTAGCTTGTAAGCTCCCGCGGACAGGGCCCTCCTTACCATCTTGACTTGTATTATAACTATAATGTCTTCATGATATTGTAAAGCGATGCACAAACTGTTGGCGCTATATAAATCCTGTATAATAATATTGTGGTGTAAAAGGGACACATAGAAAATAGTGGTTTTCTGTGGCCCTGGGGTGATCCGGTGAGGTACAACGCAGGTCACCGCAATCCATGTGACTGGGCCCTTAGTAAAATTAGATAGAGTTCAGTTTAACTTCAGTAATTACCTTGCAGCCATACTGCAGTGCCAGCTTGTTCAGGCTGTCATGTTCTGTGATGGTGCGCTCCAAGAAAACCACATCGCTGATTTTCTCCCGCAAAGCATTCTGACGTTGGAGCTCTACACCCCGTGCCCGTAATTCCATAATATCGAACTCCTCTTCAGATGAGCTGTCCAGATCCGCTGCTCCATTCGTAAACGTGTACACATGGCTTCCCTGAGAGGAATGGACTCCAGTGGGTGGGTGGAAGGAATGAGAGGGTCCCTTGAGGCGCATTGTTAGAGGGGCTCTAGAGAAGATTGAAATAAAAGAGTTCTGAATACAACAATGGGAATTATGGTGAGAAAAAAAAGTGACATTCAGCGGTTCACAAATGACAGTAAGGCCCCGTTCACATTGAGTGGTTCGCAAATCGCGCGTTTGATGCGCGGTTTGCATTTTGCGCGAGATCGCGCAAATGCTTGCATTGAGCAAGCTTGAATCGCGGCTAAATCCGCTCCAAAAAGTGTGTTGCTGTAGCGACATACGACCCGCCACAGGAGGACCCTTTGCCCCATTGAGAAGCACTGGAGCGCGATAAATCGATCAATGTGAACGGGGTCTAATAACGTGTTCTGGATTAAGGTTCAATGGACTTCACTGATCTAGTCACATGTTCTGTTTGCTGTAACCATCATTATTATTTCAGCCATGTGACAGCTCTCCTCTCTGCAGGAAATAAGAGTCATTATAGAACACAATCGTTATAGTATAGGGAATGTTATCATGGCCTCCAGCTTTCAGGCACACAGTATTCTCCGGAGCTCCCAATTCTCTACAGTAACTGAGGAATAAAGGAGATTTGTGGTATATAAACCCCAACAAACTCTTAGCTGGTCCCTTCTGGTCTGCTAATTAGAAACCTGAAAGCGTTTTGTTATATCGGTTCAATAATTAAGAATACAGCACAGGAAGCTCAGCAGGCATCTGGTTTTTATTATTAGTTCCCCACTATCTAGAGGACTACAGAACTCTGCTCTTGTGTGATGTGGAGAAGAGGGGGAGAAGTTTGTACTCCTGTCCTACAGAGAGAATGCTGTGGCAGGATCACAAGGTGAAAGTGAAGGGAAAAACGAATGAATGAATGAGGCCACCACATCTAAGAAGATTTCATTCTTGGGTTTAGCTGTGCCTGTACATATACTCCCTCCCGGCATAGCCCCGTATCTCCTCTCAGAGGTTTGCTCAATAGCTGGAAATCTGTGAATTAATCTGTATAAAAAGGTTACTCTCTACAGCAGGGGTAGGCAAACTAGCTCACCTTCCAGCTGTGGCAAGACGGTAGATCCCATCATGCCTCTCTAACTTGTGTCTGTGGCTGCAATGCCTAATGGGATTTGTAGTTGCTCTACATCTGAAGGGCCGGAGTTTGCCTACCTCTGCTCTACAGGATCAGCAGCAACATGCTTGGCAGGGGGAGCTGCAGGCACTCTCAGAATAAACTATGAGAACTATTTAAATATTCAAAAGGGAATAAATGAGACAAACAAAAAGGTATATTGAAGGTTTATATGTTATAGAATGAGACACAATGAAAGCCATTCTACCTGAGGGTGAGTGTGGGTCAGAGGATGCTTCCCACACTATCAGGTGACAGACTAGGATGCTGCATTAAACAAGGAGGGGCAATGGGATGCAAAGTCATTCAAACAATTGGATACACATCAGGTTGTCACAAACAATGTTATCATCTCAAATGTTTCATTGATTGATTTTGGAAAGTTCTTTCTATGCATAGTTTGTATTTACATGTGTACGTGGGAGTTGGGTTTGTTTACATAGACATTGGCGCGACTTCTTGTTCTGCGGCATTACAGGTGAAACTCGAATAATTAGAATATCGTACAAAGTTCATTTATTTCACTAATGCAACTTAAAAAGGTGAAACTAATATATGAGATAGACTCATTACATGCAAAGCAAGATAATTCAAGCCGTGATTTGTCATAATTGTGATGATTATGGCTTACAGCTCATGAAAACCCCAAGAACCCCAAATCCACAACCTCAAAAAAGTAGATTATTACATGCAATCAATAAAACAAGGATTGTACATAGAACAATATCGGACCTCTGAAAAGTACAAGCATGCATATGTACTCAGTACTTGGTTTGGGCCCCTTTTGCAGCACTTACTGCAATTTACTTTTGCACGATATTCTAATTATTCGAGTTTCACCTGTACATAATGATTGTGCTTTCCTACTCCTTCTCAATATGCAAATCTTTGGGTCACAGAAAACAACAAATGCCTCTGGTCAGGTTTATTTAACAATGAACAGTTTTGGTGTGATGCATGTCGTAGTCCTGGGACAGGAAGCAGAGGGAAGAATGAAGCCTAGGATACAAAGCTTTGATCTAATACTCAGAAGGTGGAGAACCAGGGGTAGGGCCACATGAAGCCGCAGCAGAATCAATGACTGTTCTGCACCAAGACTATTTCATTTGCAGCCAAATTGGGAAGAACACTTATACTTTAAAATTGCTCCTCACCCATCACTTCTCTAAACGGAATTTCTCTGTGGAATGCCAGGGGGCTGGGGAGGTCATGTTTACTATAATGAAGCCTGTCTGTACTGTGCTGGCAGATCTCATCAGTTGTGCACCAGATCTGAACACAGTCTGTCCTAACACAGGTGCAGCCTCACTCCAAGTGTACGCCCTTGACTCTCCTGGAGGTGTCCTTGAAATAAGTCGGGGTAACTGTATGTACGTTTGTCCTCAGCCATGACAGCTGTATTTTTATTGATTTCCCCAGCTGGGAAAATGCAACTTATCAGTTAGTGATCCATGAACTGACCTTGTGTACCAGATGTGAACATGTACTCGTGTTCCCTCAAGAGCAAAGTATAGAGATTGAAGAACCCAGAGCGACCAGAGCCAAAGAAAAACAACAACTGAAAGCAAAACTAAAAGTAACAAGTGATTTTATTCTATTTTTAGTGGATACAAAAAATACAAACTGACAGATGCCAATCAGGTTACCGACATTCCAACAGCTGCCACAGAAATCAATGGGGGATTGGATCGATATCATTTACTACTCAGAATTCTGCTCTGGTGCTTCCTCGGAGCTCATGAAGCTGGGACACAGTCAGTTTTGGTAGCTGATGCATACCACCACTTCTCCCAATGAAATGTATTCACATACTGAGGCACCTGCACTGCATCCTGGGATATGGGAGGACCCCACCTGACCACAGACTGGCTTTGTGTGTTCATGGGGTGTGCGATGGAGTTTTGGCAAAAAAAACAAGACAGTTTATACATCAGGGGTGGAATATATTATATGGGATTCAGGAGCTGGTCTGTCCAATCCAGGAGCCAGCAGGATGTATTTTTTTAGGAGCCAGCTCCATTGACAGCAACCAGAGAAAAGCTTGAGAGCTGGGTGCCAACTGTTATTTTTAGGGAGCATTGGTGACCTGGCTCCTGGGATCCAGTATACTGGGGTCCAGTATTTTGAGACCGCAAAGCACAATGTGAAAGTTCACTGAATACCTATGTAGACGGGGTTGTCATCCCCATAGGACACACAGATTCTCAATGGCGCCGTATAAACTTTGGGAATTTTTGTTCCTATTCATTAAAACGCATCAATTAAAAGGATTTTGTATTTCTATAACTGTAAGCCCTCGTTCACACCTGAACGTTTTGTAGCGCGTTCTACGCTCGACGAACGCTCTACAAAACGCTCAAACGTCTAAATCCCATTGTATTCAATGGGTCTGGTCCACACCTTGGCGTATTTCAGCCCGTCCCTAACGCGCTACAAAACGGCCCACGCCTGAAAAGGTACATGTACTACTTTGGGCCGTTTTTGTTGCGCGTTTCCATTGGGACACAGCCAAGTAGCCCTCGGAAACGCGCGTTTGTCACGCGATTTTTTTTACCGCGAATCGCGGTTAAAAAAAACGCACGACAGACGCGCATATGCAATACGCCTAGGTGTGAACCAGGGCTAATAATAAGTGTGGGCTGAACTACATCATAGAAATGCCCGAAAACCTCTTTACTTAGCAGGTGGATCAGCTAGTGTGCAGAGCCCACAATGGAAAGATACTCACAGCAAATACCTCCAATGTTAAGGGGAACGATGGACTACAAGGACTAGGAAACGTCCCATCTGCATGCTGGAAGAAGAAACAAAAGGAAATACAAATTCATAGTCACATGACCAGTACATGACTGACCCTTCAAAGAGCAATAGTGTGGAAAGAACTTCCTGGTATAAGACTTATTGACACCCAAAACGCATAAAAATATTTTACAAACATCCCCACCACCATCCTTTTGCCTAGACCAACGTAAAAGGTGTCCTTAGGAGTAAGTTATCCACCCAGATGCCACATTTCCACCAGCTGACAACACATTTGTCTGGCCTGGGTGGTGATTGTCATGTCTATGGGTGCCAAAGACGAAGCCTAGGATGATCATTTCCCAAAAAATAATGGAGGTCAGCCTGTGCTCCTGAAATGGTCCTCCGGTCACCGAGTCATACAAGTATGCAGCATACTGCCGGCCTAAAGGAATCCTAAGGATAGAAATATGGCCGCAGCTTCAATGATAACTATCAGGACTATTCACAAAAGGGTGAAGAGTTAGGAGAAGGCAGGGGAGGTGAACAATCTAGGACAACATAACTGAACTGGAAAATGAGCTGAATTGGAGAATGTTTCCAGTTCAGCTATGTTGTCCTAGATTGTTCTCTTCTCCTGCCTTCTCCAAACTCTTCACCCTTTTGTCGATAACCCTGTATGTATTTCCTGAAAAGTAGAGATTGTGCACTTTTATTTTTTTATGTTACATGAGCTTAGCGCAACTGGTTATCAAGCCCAAATAATAAAAAAACATATTGGGGTTGGAGAAACGAGACGCGGCGGGTCAAGGGAGGCGAGACGCGGCGGGGCCAGGGGGACGAGACGCGGCGGGGCCAGGGGGACGAGACGCGGCGGGGCCAGGGGGACGAGACGCGGCGGGGCCAGGGGGACGAGACGCGGCGGGGCCAGGGGGACGAGACGCGGCGGGGCCAGGGGGACGAGACGCGGCGGGGCCAGGGGGACGAGACGCGGCGGGGCCAGGGGGACGAGACGCGGCGGGGCCAGGGGGACGAGACGCGGCGGGGCCAGGGGGACGAGACGCGGCGGGGCCAGGGGGACGAGACGCGGCGGGGCCAGGGGGACGAGACGCGGCGGGGCCAGGGGGACGAGACGCGGCGGGGCAAGGGAAACCTCCACTGTCCTCAGGTTGGAGATGCGGGAGACGGCAGGCGGTGGGAGGCTGCCCTATACTATGGAGATGTATTGTGAAGCAGCAGCAGCCAGGATGTAAACAAACACTGCAGGGCGCAGCCATTGGATGGAGGGATGTTTTCATCTGTGGAGGGGGAGTTAGGTCAGGTCAGGGGAAAGGGAGAGGTTGACTTTGTTCTAAAGTGAAGTCATTCCTAATACCATTGTTTTTGTTTGGATGGAGGGGAGACAGGTTACAACCTCTGCCAGGTTTTTACTGCCGTCTCTGCCAGGTAGATTCACCCTCTCTATCTCACCGAAGGTGTCACCTGATCAGGAACAGAATAGGAATCTTCCAATGGGGACACCTGTTGCAGTGACAACCATCTAAGAGGCGATCTCCCTCAATTTGGAGAGATTTCCTCTCACTTCCTGTTGTGTCCTTATGACAGGAAGTAACGTAAGATCTCACACATCACCAAAAATATTACGGGGTGGGGGGGGCGGTGACAAGACCAGTCACCGTGCACAAGGACAGAGCAGCAGTGAGCTGTCTTTATTAAAGGAGAGGGGCGGAGACAAGACCAGTCACCTGCACAAGGAGGGAGAGAGAGAGGGAGCAGCAGCGACTGGTCTTTGTTACAGGAGGGGGCAGAGACAAGACCAGTCACCCTGCAGAAGGACAGAACGCAGCAGTGACTGGCCTTTGTTACAGGAGAGGGGCAGAGACAAGACCAGTCACCTGCACAAGGAGAGAGAGAGCGCAGCAGTGACTGGTCTTTGTTACAGGAAGCTCCAAGTCTCACGCTGGATGACTGCACAGATCTGGAAGAAATACACAAAGCTCACCAAGTACCAACAGACATGACTCTTGTATTTGTCTATCCCAAGGTTCAGCCAGAGGCCCCTCCAGGAGGAGTCTGCAGAGTTCTGCCAGCTGAGCACAGTGTCCTTACATAAGGCCATGCTGGGACTTGCAGTTCGCCAAAGCTGGAGAGGCCGCTCCCCCCGCTCTCCGAATTCCTGTTAAGAGAAACAAGCCAAGCTGTGCTTCCAGCCCCACCGAGTCATTCCCCAGCTGTGTACAAAGTGCTCCGAATGTCCTCAACTCTAATAACATAACCGTGGCAGTCAGCGGCCTACCTGAGCGCCCTTCACAGATGAGTGCTGCACAGGCCTCACATCCCCGAGCTTGGCGCGTCCCCGTGGCCGGTTATCCCCCTTACCGCCCGCAGTTTCTCCGGCTCTCAGTTCTCTGGTTATGTTCCTCCAGCCACCTGGATGGAAGGAAGCAGCGAAACTCCTCCTCCAGCCAATCACCACCGGCGGCGAGAATTTTGTTAGCCAATCCTAGCTGAGAGAAGCTGCTGGCCAGCCAATGAAGATACAAAAGAAAAGGAGTAGCGAACCAATGGTGAGACAGCGGATTGGGCGGTGGGGGGAGAGCTGAGGGTTTGACGTGTCCGCTGTGCCTAGCTGGTTACCCGCAGACTGCTGTGTGTCTGACCTTTGGTCACCTACAAGAAGGCGGCCATTGTATTGGTTAGAAGAGCGCGGCTCCTCCAAGTCAGGCTGAGTGGTAATAGAGCGGCCGCTGACGCGGACATGTCTGGCCTTGACTGTGGCAGAGTTCTATGACTTCATGAGGAGAACTGAGGTGATTGAGGGAAAACTGATCTTAAAGCGGCTCTTCAGCCTCATTTAACAAATTCCCTCATTGTATTTCTCACACTCCTCACCTTTGACAGAATTGAAAATAATGTATTTTTCTATTTGTTAAATATCTTTTCTAAGCTTCCCTTCCTCTACATTCTCCTACCAACAATAGTAACAGTGGTGGACCTAAGGAACAAAGGGCTCTGGTGCAAGATTTTTTTTGCCCCCCCCCGCCCCCCCCGAAAAAATAAACGCAGCGCTTAGCCGGCTGTCACTTTCTCTCCTACTGCTGGGGCACAGAGCTGCGCCCAGTGGGTAGGAGAGCGATCAAGGATGCACCTCTGTATCGGCAGAAAAATGGCACTTTCGCCATTAAGCCAAAAGTACAATTTTCGTCCGATATGTTTTGGCGGCCGCTATATCGGTGCGTCCCTAATATTTACAGAACTGCAGAATGGCATAGGCTATAGAGGACTACATATCCCAGCAATACTTTATACAGAAATGCTATTGTTATATAAAATACTGCTGAGATTTGTAGTCCTCTATAGAGGGTGCCATTCTGCATTGCTGCCACAGTACCTTTTAGACTACAAATAATAATTATTTTAACCCTTTCGCTGCCAAGGACGTACGTCGTACGGAGCTACAAAAGTGCTTCCAGCTGGCCAGCTCAGTACGTCGTACGGACCTGGCATTTACAGTTCTACTATAAGCTGATGGTCGCTTTAGGGGACTGGTCAGTAGCTGCAGCGCGCTGTGATTGGCAGAGGGTTGCCATCGCAGAAGAACGCTAACCCGGATCGGGAGCCGCGCTATACGGAGGGAGCCGCTCCACTGGAGGTTTTCAGCGTACTGGCCGGCAGACGGGACCCCTCATTTCGGCGCGCGGCGGGCCCCCCATCTCTGCGCCTGGAGTGACGGATGAACGGATGATCCGACACTCCCAGCGCAGAGATGGGCGGCACGCTGTACCGATCCAGTGCTGGACCCCCCCAGGCCGAGGCCCCGGTGCGCCCGCACCTGCTGCCCCGGAGGTAGTTCCGCCACTGCCTACCAATGATGTTGCTGGTACTGCCCTCAAGACACTGGGGATATGAGCACCATATATCTCTGTTGTATTTGAGAGCGCTACACGGCACCTGCGCACTTAGTGCTCTATCCAGGGAATCACATTGTTTATATGTTACCGTGGTATTGGATTTTGCAGGTAGCGCGCTGAGTGCCAATGTGTTGGATTAGTGGCACCTGCCATATTGTTTACATTTTGCCATAATATTGTCTTTCGTGTAAATAATACAATTTTGTGGGTAGATTGCTGAGTGCACAGGCGTTGCTAGTCCCACGCATGTGCACCCAGCGCTCTACCTGGGAAGTCCAATACCATGGCAACATGTAAACAATATGGTTGGCTAGAGGCGCTAATCCCATGCACATGGACCCAGGACCCTACCTAAGGAAACCAATACCATGGCAACGTGTAAACAATATGATTCTCTGGCTAGAGATAGGTGCCATTAATCACATGCATACGGCTCCAGGACTCTACCTAAGGAAACCAATACTATCTAAACAATGTGATTCTGTGGCTAGAGCGCTGAGTTCGCGAGAGCCGCCAATTCCATGTATGAGGTCCCAGCGCTTTACCTGTAAAATCCGATACTGTGTCAACATGTAAACAATATGATTCTCTGACTAGAGCACGGAGTGCATAGGTGCCGCTAGCCCCACGCATACGGCCTCAGGACTCTACCTAAGAAAACCGATACCGTGGCAACAACTAAATATGATTCTGTGGCTAGAGCGAGAAGTTTGCAAGTGCCGCCAATCGCACGCATGTGGTCCCAACGGTTTACCCGCAGAATCCGTTACCATGGCAACGTGTAAACAATGTGCTTCCTTGTCTAGAGTGTTGGGTGCACAGCCGCTGCTAATCCCATGTACGCACCGATTCCAGAATTCCTTGAAGGATATATGACTTCTGGGGATATATGACTTTCATATCCCAGGAATCTGAGGGCAATATGAGTCAATGGCTAGAGCACTAAGTGCACAGGCATAGAATCCTCATGGAGGGCAGCAAAGAATACTACCAGGAAGTAAAGGGAGAGATAATCCTCTGCCCCTTACTGCAAATGGCTGCAGTGACTATAAAAATGTGAAAGAATCCACTGAAACGAAAGCTTGCCGTTACCAGTCAATATATTTCTTTT